TTTATCGTTTTCTCTTCCTCTCTCTCTCTCTCTCTCTCTCTCTCTCTCTCTCTCTCTCTCTCTCTCTCTCTCTCTCTCTCTCTCATATGACCTTATTGTGTTGCAAGTGCCATAAAACTCTTACTAAAAAAAAAAATCTCTCTCTCTCTCTCTCTCTCTCTCTCTCTCTCTTTCTCTCACACTCATATACAGTGGCGTCCAAGAGAAACTTGAAACTGTAAACTCCCAACCATCGTTTTTAAAGCTATGAATTATCCACTCATGCAGAATACCAATTTTAAGCTAAATCAATTCTGCGTCAACTGACATATTACTTTTCCATCTATGTTACGAGACCCCGAGATATGGTCATTCAAAATTGACCTAAAAGTCAGGCTTGTCAAAAATGTGCGGAATTAAAGAAAAGTATAATTTATTTTCTTCACGCGTGTATATGATTTTTGTTGGTGGTGTAAGGAATGTGGATTTTTACGGATTTTTTGCAAACTTGAATGCTACCTCAGGAAAAAAATAATTTAAAATTCTCTAATTCGTTTAGGAAAAAAACAACAAACAATTATTTAGATTTAATGTATCCCTCCGAGCATAGGTTGGTCCTGGCCGACAGGATCTAACCTGTTTACTAAGTGATCGAAATTGTGGCCATGGAAGGCCTAAAACGTAGCCACATAGATTATCAATTGTGTCATGTCGCGGTGGAATCAGGTGCTCGTCAATTTTAGGCCATATAAGGTTATTGGTATCATCTTAAAGCCTGTCCATTTGCCTTGATTTTGATGGAAAAAATATCCCTTTATCTTAGATACAAGCCAAGATGTTGGCAATTGAAGGAGGTGGGGGTTGCCTAGTTTCAGAGGTAAAATTAGCGAGAAAATAAACGTCAAAGTTGAGTTGTTTCCTTAGCTAAAGAGTCTGTAGAAACCGAAAAATGTACATCTTTTATGCCTTCAATCAACGTTTGTCAGTAAAATCCACACTGAAATGGGTTTTTTAATGAGCATGAAATGTGTTTAGCCAAAGAAAAAAACTTTGATAAAAATTCCTATACCTGCGGAAAAATACCCGTTTCTTGACTTTCATAACTTTCACGAACACCGGATTTCATCACGCTGTCTCACAATTGTGGACTGACGGTGTAAATCAGAGGTCCCAGGACTTACGCAAACTTAGTGTGTAAAAAGGCTTAACGAACCCACACAATAATATTTTACTCGAAAACAGATTTGTGATGTTCTTCATTAGCGCTACTGCAACCTGTATCTAAGTCTAGAAATCTAAAGGAACATCACAAGACACTATGATTAGAAATAGGTACGACTTTCTGCTTATAACGGTCTGGGCTATTTGAGTTTTGGTATGTGTTTTATGGTACTTGCAACACAATTAGATCTCGTAGGTGCCGACTATTACTATTAGAGGCGGTAGTTATTATATTAGGGAGTAACAAAGAGGAACAAGAAAACTATAGAGATAATTGGTCGCTTTTAAGGACAAGCAGGCTAACCCAGATTTCGGGGTTTTCCAGAAATCTTGACCTACACCAAAAGTGGCCATTGCCCTACCTATAGGTGAAGTTTGGTTCCTTTGGTATGTATGTTTGTTTGGTTATAGAGAAAACTCTCCTTGTCTTTTAAAGAAACTGAACAAGGGGCAAGAACTTTACCTTCGATTTTCTCAAAACAGCATTTTTCGGGATGCTTCCCTATGCTTAAAAGCGACCAATTGCGACAGATGTTTGATAGGAAAGAAAGAACAAATCATACCAGAGCGCCCGCCAACAACCAAATCACCCCAATGCACAAACTCGGATTTTCCCTAAACATAAGCAATTCCCCTGTGATTAGCAATAGCTATTTGGAGACAATCACAACAAAAAGCCAAAATAATTGGTCAAATCGTTTATTCAAAGCAACTGAAAATCAGGCAATTTCTGACGTAAGGTAATTCATTTCTTAAAGCCTATCCAACGACGGGTGTGTCCTGGCAATTCTTTGGGATGTTGAAGACTGAGGGGTCAGCCACTGAAGTCACAGGGTCACTCAAGAGTTTGATGATGTTACCTTGTGGCGCTGGAGAGTGGAAGTGAGAGATGTGAGAGAGATAAGATAAGATAAGATAAGATAAGATAGTACTTTATTATCCCAGAGAGAAATTTTCCTTGGCTGTAAGATGAGAGAGAGAGAGAGTGAGAGAGAGAGAGTGAGAGAGAGTGGAAGTGAGAGATGTGTGTGTGTGAGAGAGAGAGAGAGAGAGAGTGAGAGAGAGAGAGAGAGAGAGAGAGAGAGAGAGAGAGTGAGTGAGAGAGAGAGAGAGAGTGGAAGTGAGAGATGTGTGTGTGTGTGTAAAAGAGAGTGAGAGAGAGGGAGTGAAATGTGTGAGAGAGAGAGTGAGAGAGAGTGAGAGAGAGTGAGAGAGAGTGAGAGAGATGTGTATGAGAGAGAGAGAGAGGGTGATTGAGAGAGATGTGTATGAGAGAGAGAGAGTGAGAGAGAGTGAGAGAGAGTGAGTCAGAGTGAGAGAGAGTGAGTGAGAGAGGGAGAGAGAGAATGAGAGAGAAAGTGAGAGTTAGTGAGAGAGAGAGAGAGAGAGAGAGAGAGAGAGAGATGTGTTTGAGAGAGACAGTGAGAGAGTGAGAGAGAGAGAGTGAGAGAGAGTGAGAGAGATGTGAGAGAGAGAGAGTGAGAGAGAGAGTGAGAGAGAGTGAGAGTGAGTGAGAGAGTGAGAGAGTGAGAGAGAGTGAGATAGATGTGACACAGAGAGAGAGAGTGAGAGAGAGTGAGTGAGAGAGAGTAGTGAGAGAGAGTGAGAGAGAGAAAGAGAGGATGAGAGAGAGTGAGAGAGAGTGAGAAAAAGTGGGATAGAGTGAGAGAAAGTGAAAGTGAGAGAGATAGAAAGAGAGAGAGCGAGGGAGACCGAGAGAGAGTGAGAGTGGACGTGAGATATGCTCGATAACAGCAACCTGTCTGTTGAGGGTCTGTGCCGTTTTACACGATGCAAACGTAATAGCTTATGTCTTTGTAGTCAATCTATCTGTCTTTCCATTATCTATCTAATATATATAAATATATATTATATATATATATATAAAAATAAACATATTATATATAATA